TGGACCAGGCTGGCCTTGAATTCACAGAGATCTGCCCGCTTCTGCCTCCTGAGTACTGACACTAAAGGCGTGTGCCACCACACCCAGCTCTTTATCATTACATTTTAAAAAATTTATTTTGCATGTTTGGCCTGCATCTGTGTTTTAATTTTTTTAGTGCACCATGTATGTGCAATGCCTGTTGACACCAGAAGAGGATCCTCTAGATCTGGAATTACAGATGGTTGTTAGCTGCCATGTAGGTGCTGGGAGCTGAATCTGGATCCTCTACAAGTGCAGCCAGTGCTCTTAACTGTCTTTCCAGCCACCCGTTTTTTGTTTTGTCTTTTTAAAAATAATCTTTTAATTCAAAATTTAAAATTCCTTTTTGGTTTTTCTATTGTGATATAGTCTCATATAGCCCACAATGGTCTTGGACTCACTATGTAGCAGAGGATGGCTTTAAACTCCTAAACCTGTCTTGTATTTCTGGAAGCCAGGATTACAGATTGGAATTACAGGCATTTATCACACATCTGGCTTAAACTTTCTTGACCTTTGCTAAAAGCAAAGACTTGAAAACCACTCCTAATGAAGACCCAGTTGCTCATGTCAGACTCCTCAATGTCTTTGGAAGTTATTCAAAACATCCCACAAAGCATTATCAATAATCTTTTTGCCTCAGTCATCTTACTTATAGAGTTTAAAATTAAACTGAATAGTAAAAACATCACCACAACATAGAGATCTCAGCATTTCTTGAAGATAATTACAGAGCAATTTTATTTGTTTTTAAATTTTTAAAAATTTCAAAATTTTTGGTCTTCTTGAGACAGGGTCTCCCTGTAGCCCCAGCTGTCTTGGAACTCGCTATGTAGGCCAGGCTGGCCTTGAACTCACTGCCTGCCTCTGCCTCCTCACTGCTGGGATTAAAGGCATGCACTACCGCTTTTTAATGCATCAGAAGAGTATAAACACCTGACTTCCTATTGAAGTACACATGTTCTAGACTGAGTCTCACCCTACTTCCAGATGCAGGTTCTACTTCTAGTTGTATGGCATTTCATCAAACTGAAATGTGCATTTTATCATCTTGGGAATTACAGCTTAAAATCATTTGCCTATTGTGATGTAACTGCCAGTGTTTTCACTACGTAGGATATAAAATGACAAATCATAGTTTTAGATTAGGTGATACATTTTTGAAATACAGGAAAAAGTCACTAAAAAGTTCAGGTCTTATATGAGGTGTACTGATAACTGTTAAGAAATTTACAGTAAAAAACAAAATATTTCTATTAAAAAACAAAATATTTCTATTAATTTAACCTAAGTACATGATAAGAACAAAAACAGTAGAAAACTGGCTGAGTCACATGGCAGTAGGCTAAGGCCCAAGTTAACACAACTAATATGAACTTACAGATTTGGTAATGAACTCACAAATGAAAAAGTTGCTCAAGATCTAAAAGATAGTCCAGAAAATATGAACATCACGTGTACAACATGTTCCTTTGAGGGGGGGGCAGTGAGGAGTAGGATCTCGATGTGTAGCCCAAGCTAGCCTTGAACTGATCCTCTTCCTGAGTTCTGAGACCATCATGTTGGACTTAAGCCATGTTCTTTTAAGTTGAGAATGTACTGCTAGCATGTGAGAAGTGAACATGGGCCTTCAGCTTCTCCCTCCTTGAAACCATACAGACTCTGAAACACGTTGTGACACATTGTTCAGACTTTTCATCATTATTGAGCATGGAGGAAACAGCCTGACTCACCAAAACCAATCATGACTTTCTATCAGATTTGAATATTCTTAGATGAGGCAAAGAGCCTAGAAAAAAACTTTCCCTTCCCGTTATATCCATGCTCTTTTTCTTTCACACAATTCACCACAGACTGGTTTTTAAACTAGGGGAGCAAAAAACAGTCATTAAACAATAACCACTGCCATCTCCCTTACCTGACAAACATCTCAATTCTCAACATTTCCAATGGGCCAATCTAACAGTCTGAACACTGTATTTTACTCATAAGGAAAATAAATGAATTGCCACCACGGTCCCTTAGACAGTGCGAAATGTTCGATAAGGTACAAAAGGAAAGGACACATCATCTTGATAGGGCAGTGGCAAAACTCTGGAAGAGTGCATGGGACTGGAAATAGTTCTGTGGTCAGTTCTGGGAAATATCCTGCTGTTGGTTTCTTTTGTAAACTTGGAGAAAAGAGATGAGGAAAAGTAGATGGGTATGACCCTTGATTGGGAATCTTAAAGTCTTTTGGAGACAGGTTCTCCCTGTACCCCAGATGGCCTGGAAGTCACTGTAGACCAGGCTGGCCTTGAACTCAAGAGATCTGCCTGCCTCTGCCTCCTGAGTGCTGGGACTAAAGGCATGCACCAAAATGCCTGGCTTAAGAAGGCCTTTTTTTTCTTTTCTTGGGAAGAGTTTTGGAATTGAGGATCTGAACTTGGATTTTCCTTTATCATGTCTGCATAACCCTTGGAAAGTTAATTACTCCCAGGGGTATTCACTATTGTTTGAAGACAATGCTCCTACTCTTTGAAAATCTGAATTTCTGAGATAAACTTAATCATACATTCCCCAAAAGTTACTCAGCATTCCTACGGAAATAAAAATAACTTTTTATTTTACAGAATGATCAACTCCTTTCACTGAACTAAAAAGAACAGAAACAAGTTACTAATGCCCTAAAAACTTGGATAATTGGTCAGTAATAATGGTACACACCTGTAATCCCAGCAATGGAGGCTCAGGCAAGAAGACTGCAAGTTCAAGACCAGTCTGGGCTACAGATAAGAACCCCACCCCCTTTTTTTCTGGCAACAGGGTTTCCTGCAGCCCAGTTGGCCTGGAACTTTCTACACAGATCCCCTGGTTCTGTGATTAAAGGTGTACACCACCACCCACCACCACGCCCTGCTTAAGCCACCCCCCCACCTTTTTCTGTCTATTTGAGACAAGGTCTCCCTGTAGCCCCAGCTGGCCTGGACCTCACCATGTAGACCAGGCTGGCCTCGAACTCACAGAGATCCTGCCAGCCTCTGCTGGGAGTAAAGGCACATACACCACTACCGGTTATAAGACCCCTCCATAAAAAAAGAACAGTTGGGTATGGGGGAGCCATGCCCTCATTCCAAGCACTCTGGAGGCAGGCAGATCTCTGTGAGTTGAAGGCCACCTTGGTCTACATAGCAAGTTCCAGGCCACCCAAGGGTACATAGTGAAACCCAGTCTCAACAAACAATAAAACAAAAACTACTCACCAAATACCTAAGATACTGAATACATGACTGATGGTTATATGCCGAGGACAAAGATTTCTCTTTAAGATACATTTTCATTTGTGTGTTTTGAGAGGAAAAGAGAGAATGAGAGAGAGAGAGAGAGAGAATGAACATGAGTGCAGCTACCCTCAGAAGCTAGAGGCAATCAGTTCCTCTGTAGCTGGAGTTACTGGTAGTTGTGAGCTGCCTGATGTGGGTGCTGGGAACTGAACTCAGGTCTTCTCCAAGATCAGTAAGCACTCTTAACTCCTGAGCCATGTCTCTAGCTCTGTGCCCTGACCTCAAAGTTATAATCCAGTCACCTCAATCCTGGGGTTACAAGTATGTAAAATTAGGCGTGGCTCTATTTTTTCATTTTAGCAATAAAGTACTAAGAGATTAATAAATATTCTCAAGTATTTGTATTTATGAATGGTAATAAAAAGCATTTTACAAAAGTATTCTATTTTCTTGATTTTCATTAGATACCATGATCTCTGCACATATGGAAAGCCAAGATGCTGAAGAATAACTTTTTCTTTAAAATATTAACTTCTTCCTTTATATAGAAAAGTGAATTCAGGTAGTTAGTAACTGGAAGGAATTTTTTCTTTGCCTTTGTCTTATCAACAAATACATATGCATGGTTTAACCAGGTGGGGTAGCCATTTCAATTTTTTCTTTTAGGGAATATTGAAATAAATTTCTGCATAGCACAAGACTTGATTTTAAATAACTGGGGGAAATTCCTCTATTTTTAGAATCTCCATTAATTTAAAAACTACTCTTCTCGAGGAAGGCAAGGGCTAAAAAAAAAATCACAGAACCTTCTATCAGATTAGGGGTAGGTCTATGAGTAGAGGTTATTAGCTCTGTCTTGGTCATAGATACTTGGTTTATGATTTGTCTTCTTTGGGGTTGATAGAACTAACACAGACACACAGACACACACAGAGTTTTCCTTTAAACAAAAAAAAAAAAACGAAACAAAGGAAGTGATCTGAGCTTACTGTTAGCCATGGCCATGTGCTGAAGGTTTGTTTATCATTGGGAGGTGATTAGATCATAAGGGTATTTACCACATCAACAGATTAACATCTTAATGGTTCATAATATGAGGGAATTAAGAAGTCATAGGAGGTGGGGTCCAGGTGGAAAAACAAGTCACTGGAAGGTGCCCTGGAAAAACATATCTTTTCCTTGGCCCCTTCCTGTTTCCTGTCCTCCTGCCGCTTGGTTGCCATGGGGTGAGTCTCTGAAACACCCACAGCCTTTAGAGTCTGTCTCACTTCAACCCCAAACTAAGGGATTCAACTGACCTTGGAAACCAGGAGCCAAAATAATCATTCATCCTTTAAATTGTTTTGCTCTCTGGTATTGTGTCACACTGACAAGAAACATATCATCTTTGGTTTCAAGAAAAAATTACTCAACAATGCTGAGAAATGTAGAGAAACCTGGATGGTTTGCATGGCTTATCCTTGCCTTTTCTGGTCAAAGGACTATAATCTTAAGTGAGTTTCTGAGATTTTAAGGTTTGATGTTTTTACAGCAATACTAGATAAAATATGAACGGAGAACAAGTCTCTACTAATAAATATATATGGACCTGTCTATAGCTCAAAAGATGGTTTATCTATTTCATTTTTTAAGTTTTCAAAATAATTTACATATGAATTCTAAGTGATTATGAAACATCTTACTAATTCTATTTATCCCATAAAATCACAATGTAACTGCAAACACAAAATGTTTTATTTTAAAACATTGGAAAAACATTCAAAGACAAGTGTCCATTATATAACGAGAAATGTTAAATATGGAAACTGTGATCTTCTGAATGTGGTACAGACTCCCAGAGAGCTAAATACTGCAAATTGTCCTATCTCTAATATCAGCAACACTTGATGTGGTAAGAAATACCAAGGTCTTACTACTAATTATTCAGTCATCATCTTTGGGTTCAACTTATTTACGTAAGAGTTCTGTCCAAGATGTCCTGACACATGAAGCTTCCAGTTGAATGTCAGAAATGTTAACAAAAGTATCTTCCTTTTTTGCCTGTAAATGTTTGCGTATTGCTGTACTGTTGGCTTATATCCACTACAGATACTGGTTCTAGGCCAGCCCAAGGATCTTCAAGCATTGAAGGCTTGAAATAACTTTCCAACTCATTAGATATTCTTTTTTCTCTACCACGCCCTGATCCAAATGGTGTAGATGTCCTTGGAGAACCCTTCAGGAAAAAAATCATCAGTTAAACAAAACATTCAGTAATGATAACTGGTACTTTTCCCTTTAGTTACATGTTATTTGGGATCACTTTCCTGGTTAAAAGCTGTCAAATGAAACCAAATATGTTCAGTAGCAAATTTCTTGTTTTCTTTAGTGTTTTTGTTAAAGTACTAAAACCAATTGAGCATACTTATTAAAAATTCCTGCCATCATCTCAAAAACTTGAGTTTTTAATGTGATAACCTTGTAGTTACTAAATACAAGTGGATCAAATACAAGCAGCGATCAAATGAATTATATTCAATTTTCCCAAGAAACTTACTTTTTAAGGACAAGTTTATTTTTAACCCGATAGGCTTCAAGTTTCTAGACCTTTCTATCTCATGAAAATTTTCTATGCCTATTAGTTGCAAACTCAAAGGGATGCAGCTGGGTGAGCATAGGGAAGGTTGGAGAACACACAGCAGATCCAAGCTGTTATTCAAAGATACTGTTTCCTATTCTTTCAATAAGAGGAATGGGGAAACATTTCATTAGCTTCGATTTTTCCTTCAGGGCACTTGGGAGAAGATAATAAAAAAATAAAAAGTTTTTTTTTGTTTTTTCTTTAAGGTTCAACAAACAAAGCAAGAAAAAAAGCGCGAGTCCCATCTGTAGGACTATAGCCTAGAGAAGCCTTAACACTGGGGATTCAATCACTTTATTCCCCTTAGGAACCCAGGACTATTTACTGAAAATAAAAGACAAAGAACCCTGGGGGGAAAAAAAAAGAAATGGAAGATTAAAAGAAACTGGTATGTGAAAACTGTATGCTGCACAATTTCTGTGGAAGAGAGAACTGTATCTCTGCCACTTACGGTAATCTTAAAATAATTTATTTACCCCTCAGTTTACTCAGCTGCAAAACTGGGCTAATAATAGTATGTCACCTCACAGAGGATTAAACAATCCATGTAAAGGGAAGATTAGTATCACGCCTGCCATCACAGTAAGCTCGGCAAACGCTAGCTATTGTCTTTACCTGGGGGTAGGTCTGCTGCTGCCCTGGGGAGTAGCCGAATTGCTGCTGGGACCCCGCGGGGGACCTGGAGTAGGAGCCCGGGTAGCCGCCCGGGGACGGAGACCCGAAGCGGGCCCCCGAGAAGCCGCCGCCGTGCCGCGGAGAGTGGCCGCTCCCGTACAGCCTAGCCCGGGGCCCGCAAGGCGGAGTGTGGTGCGGACTCCCGTACCCATCCCGAGGGGAGGGCGGCCGCGGCCCCCCTCCCAGGGCACCCCGGAAGCTGCCTCCGCCACCCCAGCCTCCTACCCCCGGTCCGGGGTAAGGAGGAGTCGGGGGTCGAAAATTCGGTCGGTGCATAGCTGGAACCGAAGCTGAAGAGTTCCCAAGCGCGCTGTCCGACCGGAACCGCAGCGACCTTCAGCCCAAGAAGTGCCGCTAGTCCTCTACATATATAGCTTTCCAGTGGCTAGCGCCACAGGGCACATGGTTCCGCCTCACAAAGGTTCCGGGTCACAAAGGCTCCGGAAGAGGGCGGGCAAATAGGTCACTGAATTAGGCGGAGATTGGGTGTGTCTGAGAGGAGGAGGAAAGATTGGAAAGCGGAAACCGAGCCCTTCACTCCAGAAAGAGCACTTTCCCCCCGGTTGCTTTTTATCGCGCACAAAGACAAGAAGCCGGAAGCGGAAGGCACTAACCCGGTCGCCCCGCCTAAGACGCGGGGCCGAGGGGCGGGTCTAGAGGGACCGAGGGGCGTGGTCAAGGCGGACCTAGGGGTGTGGTTGACGGGGGCGCGAGGGCGGGAAGGGGGGGGAGCCTCCGGCCTTGGGGCGCCGAGGGAGGCCGGTCGCAGCTCTGGGACGCTGTAACTCAGTGGGGCGAGATGTTGCGGATGCTGGCCCGGTTGTCTCTGCGTAGACCCGTCCTTCTCGACGGCGCCTGCGGAAGGGCGCTGTGGACGGGTCGCCCGCAGTCAGGTACCCTCTGACACCCGTGTGCTGGGGCGTCCCAGAACACCGGCCCCGGCTTCCCTCCTGTCGCCTGCGGCCTCACAGTCAAACTCGCCTGCGCGTTCGGCGCTTTGGGGGTGCACTTGGCGCGCTTATTCTCCCCTTCTTCCCTACCTTCTAGTAGTCCTTGTTTAGGTAAACTTCTAAAACGCACCGGTCCACACACAAAACAACCGCATTTTAGAAAGCAAGCTGCTGCTTTGATGCAGTGCTGGACTTTGACCACCTCAGTTCTTGTAAAATGGAAGCCAGAGAGGAGGCTAGGAAATGGAGATGTGGATTTCGAAGAACTATCAAGTGTAGCCCAAACTTTAAAAATCTTGTAATTGCAAAAAAAAAAAAGTGATAATCACAAGAATGCCGCCTCACGCGTAAAACACCTTGGTACAAAATACCTGTCCCTGAATTTTTCGTAGAGAAAGAAATTTCAGTTTAATTTGTTTTACAGAGTTTTCCTTGCTCCGGAATCTTGAATTCAGTTTGTAGGATGCAGAATGTAGGGAACGTTCGGATTCATTAAATTCACAGACCGATGGGCTGGACCTGTGATTTCATTCAGCCTGTGCACCTTTATGGAGCCTCTGGCTTCATGACGTCTCTGACATGTTTAACGTCCTTTTACAGAATGATGTCTTCCCAGCTCCATTCTCCTTGATGAGTCGAGACACCAGCACCTGGCGTTTTTGGTGGCGGTGGTAGTGGCAGGTGCAGTTTTCTGGAGCAGTTCCGTTCACCACTTTCCTTGTTCTGTTTCATTTTGCTTTTTTTATTGGTTGTTTTTTTTTCTTTCTTTCTTTCTTTTTTTTTTTTTTTTTTTTTTTTTTTTTTTTTTCTCCCTGTAGCCCCAGCTGTCCTGGAACTCACTATGTAGACCAGGCTGGCCTCGAACTCATAAAGATCCTCCTGCCTCTGCCTCCCAATACCTTTTATGTCATCAATAATCTGCTTTATAAAGGGGACAAAGAAGTTAAATGATGGGCACCAAAATTATTTTTATTATTTTGTGTAATTGACAGAAGATCTGCAGAATTGGGCTGCAGCTTACTGAATGTTGATATTTTCTTGAATTCTGCTTCCAGAATGGAATTGAATCCAGGGCTATGTGCATGCTAGGCAAGCTCTTTACCACTGAGTTGCAGTGCATGCCTAGCCTCCAGAACTCTTATATGTAGAATATAAGAATGCACTAGAAATCCTGGAGAGGAAGAAATACAGTGGAAAATTTTGCCAGGTGGATTGATGTAAGGCAGTTGCCTCCCAGCACATCTCTGGGTATATGTGAGGATTATTCAAGACTAAATCTTTGCCAGGTGTGGGCAGGTAGATAGATCTGTGTGAGTTCAAGGTCAGCTTAGTCTACATAGTAAGTTCCAGGCCATCTGGGGCTACGGGGAGACCCTATTAGTGATTGTATGAAGTCCAAGATGAATTTGAATCATTTTTGAGACTTTCCTCTTTACAAATAAGAAATTGGCCAAGAATAGTTAAATAATTTGCTTAAATTCACATAAGATCAGAAGTCAAACTTCCTGAACTCCAGGAAAAAAGTTTCCCTTAGAAATACAAATTAGGACTGGGCGTGGTGGCACACACCTTTAATCCCAGCACTCTGGAGGCAGAGACAGCTAGATCTTTGTGAGTTCAAGGTCACCGTGTGTTTACTTAGTGAGTTCCAGGCCAGCTAGGGCCATAGGGAGAACCTGTCTCAAAACAAAGACAAAACAAAACAATAACAACAAAAGAAATATAAATTAATAATCTAGCACTTGAAAAATGCAATACATAAGCATATAAATTTTGAAAGTGGTACTGTGTAGCTTCCTTCGGACTTAGAGATTTTGGATATAATCTTAATTATTGAATCATTGTGAATGTAGCTAGGGTGTTTCCAGGCTTTAGTCTGCAATGCACAGTCTAGCTGTCTGAGCTGGTGGGCCCAAAGTCTCCATCTACCTGTACAGAATTTCTTTATATGGTGATGATTTCAGGGAAAGGATGGGAAGTGGGGTGGGTTGGAGTTTTATGTTGGGTTTCCTGGAGGTATAAAAGTGAAGAAGGAGAATGCTCTCTGTGAGCAAATACTGCCTTCCTTGTGGTAGGGAAAGGAAAGTTCCTGTTTGTAAGCTGATAGATCTGCAAGAAGAGAGTTGCAGCTCGGTATAGGAATGCCCAGCACTAGAAGACAGGATCCTTCCCAGTGCAGAACTATCATAGCAGACACTGTCGGTGGCTAGGGGCCGTCTTCAGGTAGCATTGTATGTGTAGGCGGCAGGAACCAGAGCCAAGGAGCTTTTTGAGGTCCTGAGAGCTGAGTGAGGAAACCCAGACATGATTAAATCTGTGGTGCTGATAGACTGTAAAGTGAGAGTGACAAGGTATGAATATGGGTGGGAACCTGTTTGCTCTGTGAGGCTGCGATCTAGATTGCCTAAGGGTGCATGCATGGTTTCCATCTTTACACCACCATTTTAGGTGGTAGCAGTAGTCAGTGATCCGTGCATCCATGCTTTGGTTAGTTTTACTGTCATCCCAAGAAGTAAATATTTTCATGTTTCTGTATTGTCAGCACTTTCTAAGTGAAGGAAACTGGGTTAAAGGACAAGCCCTGGAAGTTAAAAGATGACTGATTAGGGTAGTTTGAGGTTTATGTTAAAGGACTGTAAACCAAGAGCCTTGAAGACATACCCAAGAATGCTCATGCATGAGGCTTATCCCTCCTCCTGAGGTTTAGCTCAGGGTTCATCTCCTGCCCCTCCCCAACCCTCTCACCAGAATTTGTTTACCTTAGCTGTATTTGCTTTCTCTTTCTCTGTCTGGGGAATGGGGCAGTGGGGCTGTTGTCCTCCACAAACTCCCAGTTTTATAACTTTGGGATTCCTCCACTGTGCTTCAGCCTCAGGAATGTACAGGTCTACCAACTGGTTCTACTGTGTGGCTTGTGTGGTGTTAGGTGTGGGAATATGGTGCATTTCTTGATGTAAGTAATCAGAACTGATTTCTGCTATTGAAATCTTGTGTGTATTTTCAGAAATGGATATAGACATTAAAATTTTATTGTTGGAAAACATTTCTTAGGAGAATATTTTTAACAATTTCTATGTATGGAGACCATTTAGCACATAATCCCTTTGGGTGGGAGTAATCCTTAACATTTCCTGAAAGTTTTCAGATTATCTGTTTTCCTTCTAGAGCTGCCCATTGTTAGCTGTGTCATGTTGAGGACTGCTGGTTACTGAAGTGGATGCATGACTAGGATGTGATTAGCTTATTCATTGAGCCTTGAACACAGTCATTTTAATAATGTTCCCACTGAAAAAGAATTAAAAAGAGCTGTTTTTAAGTCCTGTTGTTGAAAAAGCACAACTCTCGCTTCAGAGAGGATAAGAGATTGTTTAATCTGGAGCCAAATATGAGTGACCATGGCCTGGGAACACAGATTCAGGTTACCCCAAATTCCGTGTTCCATCCTGGAAGCAGTCTCATGAAATTTTTATAGTAACAGAACAAATCATAAATCAGGCTGGAGAGATGGCTGTTCTTGCAGAGGACCCAGGTTTGGTTCCCAGCACACATATTACAGCCAACATCTGTCGGTTACTTAAGTTCCAGGGTATCCAATGCTCTCTTCTGACCTCCATGGGCATTGTACAACACAGGTTCACTTACACACATGCAAGGATATAGCTAGACATGTAAAAAAATAAATTAAAAATGATAAGTATTTTAAAAAGTCATAAATCAAGACACTTCAAATACATTGGTGGAAACATTAAGTAGGTGGTTACAGAAAAAGAAATCTCAGCTGTAAGCCTCAGATGCTATCTAATGACACTCAGCTTTTTGATTGGTAGGAGCCAGGGCTTTGTTAATACATTCCAAAAGGTTTTTATCTGTTAGTCACAGGTTGTTAAGTCAGAAACAGTGGGCAAGGAGGGGCTATTTGGGATAAAGATTGCCCAAGATAAATTGTAAATAGACTGCGAATCTGCATCATCCCAAACTCTCCACAGTCACTGAAGTTCTAATCAGTTGATCAGCCTTTGCAGAGGGTTCAGTTTTAGATGTAGTTTTTCTGGGAACTTTTATTCTCTGTGTCTAAGAGCCAAATTCATTGCTTTCTTAAAATTTATTCCTTTTTCATTTCTGAGCATGTACAGTAGTCAAGCACAAGTGAAATTGTTTAGACATCTCTATTTATTTCCAGGCTAATATGTTTTACCATGCACAACAAAGGTATCAATTCATTACTTTCCACTTATAGACATTTTCATTGAAAATAATACTTTTTTTTGGTCTTTTGGAGACAGGGTCTCCCAGTAGCCCCAGCTGGCCTGGAACTCCCTGTGTAGACTAGGCTGGGCTCGAACTCACAGGGATCCACCTGCCTTGCCTCTGCCCCGCAAGTGCTGGGATAAAAAGCACGTGCCACCACGCTTGGCAAAACAATACTTTTTTAAAATAATAAAATTTCTTATAAACATATTTCTAAATGTGAAGAAAATCTAAAATATTGTTGAAGGGTCTTAGATATGTGGTTCAAGGGAATACTGAGACCAGTTTTTGGGGATTAGAAGTTCATTAGAAGAGTTCTAATGCCATGCACAGACAGACAGCAGCATGGAGGTGTTCTGAAGAGAGAGAGCTCAGGCTTCAGAACTGGAGATAGACATCATGGCAGATGAAACAGATCAAGTCTCTTGAGGCAGAAGTGGGAGTCCCTTACAGGTCTGTGAGGAAGAGTGGGTGTTTCACAGTATGAGTCTACAGCCAGGTTCTCTGATTTCACAGTAGGAGGCAGGGAGGTGGGTAGAGAGCAGGATGTATGGTCACCAATATCCCCTTTGATCTAAACTCCTTCCCCAGGAAAGAGATCTCAGCACCTGGAAGTCTGTTAGCTAGAGACTCACAGACAAGTCTCAGCAGGTACCTGTCTGTGTCTGTGAGAGGGAAAGGGCTGCTGCAGGGAT